GCTATGTTTATGCCATGAAATTGATGAAAAGTTTTGTACTTTTCAGGAAATTTAATAAACGTGTAATGTGTATTTATTAAATATATAATTCAATAAATGTAAGTCAAATCTAATCAGATCAAAGTCGAAAATGAACTAGTTGAGACATTTGGAACTAGTTTTGATATATAATTATTATCATAGCGCAGTTTATTTATGCTTTGGGCCTGACAGGCAGCTGTTGCTGTTAATTGGACAACAACGGAAAGCAGATCTCCTTGTGCCGCCTCCTGCTGCTCCTGCTGCTCCTGCTATCTGCCCTTGAATGACCTGCGAAGGAAGTTTTTGGTTTTTTGGTTAATTTTTGGTTTGGTTTGGCTTGGCTTGGGGTTATTTTTAATATACTCGCACCTTCTTGGCCATAAAATGTAATGGCACGGGGCATGGGGCATGGGGCATGGGGCAGAGTGGCGGGGAATACAATTAAAATCGAAACGAACGAACGAACGAACAAACAAACAAACAAATAGCGAAACAAAGCAATGAAAACGAGCAAATAATGAAGTGGATAAAGTTTGCTCGAAAAGACGCAGACGTGGAAAACCAAACTGAATCAACAGAAAGAAGAAGGAGCAGTAGGAGCAGCAGCAGGAGTAGAAACAGCAACAGCAACAGCACTAGACTAGCTAGACAACAAAAAGGAGGCGGGGCTGGTCTGGAATTTTGAGTGAAATTCAAGGTATTGCCAAATCGAAGCAAAGAAAACAGAGAGAGAGAGAAAACAAAAAAAAGGTTGCGAGCAGAACAACATGGCGAAACTTTTGTAATTACAATAAAATTTTCACAAATAACTTTCAATTGTTTGCGTGCGCGTGTAACTGTGTCTATGAGATGATTGTGTGTGTGTGTGCGTGTGTATGTGTGTGTGTGTGTGTTACTGTGGCACCTTGAAAATAGGCCACGCATTTAGAAAGTGCCACCAAATGCGTATCGAAAGCCATGCGTTTATTTCGTATGCCAAATTGCTGAGCAGCAAAAGGAGGTAAACGAATAGAGAATAGAAGAGAGAGAGAGAGAGAGGGTGAGAGAGAGGCCTGCTCGACTAGCAGCTACCTTGTAACTAGAAGTGGGTGTGCTTCCATAGATACTCATATAAAAATACTTAATATCTTAGCAATTTAACATTATTATTATTATTATTAATATTAGTATGATCGCATATTTCCTAAACTGAAAAAAACCTGAAAGCACAAATTAAGTTGCATTAAGTGAGGTTAGAGAGAATGTAGAAGAGACGACCCTGATTTATTTATGTTTAACTGTTTTATATAGTGGAATCGTAAAGTAGATCAAGGGGATCATCGTTATACCCGGAAGACGCTAAAACCGTATAGTTGGCTCATAAAAGTTTGTCCGGTCCACGGAGTCGTTCTAACCGGACTTTACTGTATTTCTATATGATAGGTATTTTTATGGACTATTTTATTATAATATAAATTAAATTTATAATGAAATTTGAATTTGAAATTTCGATTTAATATAATTTTAGTATTGTTATATGTATAAGATAGGTATTATTTGCGGATCATCTTATTATATCTTTATTTCTTTCATTCTGAGTTTCCTGAAATAAATTAGAAAATTTTATTGAAATAGTAAGAGCTTTAATTACTAAATAAAGTCAAATAAACTCAAAAATGTTTCTTTTTGTGGGCATCACATTTTTTATACCAAAATACTAATAGTATTTACATCTATATCAAGTCGAAGTCCTCAGTTTATAAAAACTGCAGAGCTTTTGCAGCTTGATCAGTTCTTAATGAGTTATATGTATTATGAAAAAGTAACCTTCATATAGTATATATATTCAACTTGTCATACCAATCTCTTGAACTTGACCTACGCCTATGTGGCATTCACTTCTAAAACATTTGATTTCGTTTACAGCTAGTTGAGTTCCCTTGGGTACAGGGTATCTATCAAATGAAAAGAAAACACTGAGCAAATTGTGTGTGATAGTATAAAGTGTGAGCAAATTAGAAATTGTAATTTCAAAATAAAGAAGTGCATGAGGGGAGAAGCGAACAAATAAGAAGAAGAATAAGAAGAAGAAGAAGTTACTTCAAGTAAAACAATTCATAGAATTGGACTTAAAGCTTGGACCAAACATTAGGCCAAAGTTTGGGGAATATTGTTTGCAAATGAATCTTAAGTTTTGCACAACAAGTGTGAGACTGTGTGCGTGTGTGTGTGTGATGGTTCATTTTACCGCACAAATATTTGTTGTTGTGTCTGTGGAAATATTTGCATTTAATTTCATAAAAGTGTCGACAGCAACTCGACAGCCAAGCAGGCTTTTAGCATAGTTTGCCTTAAAAATTGTTGCAATACGAGATGCATAGTGAAGCAATGGGAGTGGCGAGGCGGGGGGTGGGGCAGCAGGTGAAGTTGAAGTTGTCCTTTGAGCTGGTAATGCACGAAAGACAAACAGAAAAACACATGGCCAAGAGCGCTGGGGTCGTGTGTGTGTGGGCATGGTCTGAATCAACAACAATAAACAAATAATGCATACAATGGCGGCCTACTAAATAACAACAGCAACAGCAACAACAACTGGAGCTGAAGATAAAGCAGAAGTAAAAGAAGCCCTTGCAACCCCCAAACAAAAACAAAAACGAAAAGAAGAAAAAGAAAATCGAGTGACACGAAAAAAAAAAGAAGTAAATTCTCCCCCTCTCAATGACTCAATGGTTAACAAGGCACACATCAGCGTATGGCAAGGGGAGGGCTGTGGGCAGGGTGTGGGGCATTCTGGCTTAGAGGTGTGCGCTAAAGATAACGAATCTCTGCTGACGAAAAAAAAATACGAAAAATACGAAAAAAAAGTTGCGATTGATGTGCCGAATTGTGGCAGCCAGGCATGGATCAAAGCCAGCGGCTTAGCAGCTAAACAGAGCTGAAACGTGTGCCAGCTGGTGGGAGAGAGACTGCTAGATACCCTGCAATTGTGCAGTGGAAGAAGGTGGATTGATGAGTGATACATATATGATATAATACAAACGAACTGTAGTCAGAGTTAGTTGATATAAGCACAATAAAAAGTCAGAGTTAGTTGATATAATTGTAATTGGGCTGTGAAATATGTTGGATTGCACAGGCGTTGGTATACCCTATACGCATAAAGATACCCATTTGCTTCCTCTATATACAAATACATATATGCTACACATATACACAAACACACACACACATTCATTGCTTAGTTAGCACCTTCTTAATGCAAAAAGGACAAATTGTTTATTCTGTTATACCCTGTATATGTAGCTCAAGCGGGGTGTATACTGTTATGCACAATTTTCTATATGAATTATATTCAGTCCTTTGAATTCCTGGTAGAATATAGAAAAACATATTGGAATTCGATATTCTGTTATACCCTGTACTACACTAGATACTAGAGGGTATGTTAGGCATTGCAAGGGTATATATATGCATATATAGAGTGCATATATGGAGTGCATATGGTTTCCATATTAAATATTTTAATATACAGAAAATACGCTAGAGCTTATTCATTTGATAATCTACCCTGTAAACACAGTGAAGGGAATTGTAGCTAGCTCATGTCACATGTAACCAATTAAGGGTGAGTATATACTCACATATGCATAGGTATGTACATATATGTCTCTCTATCTCTCTCTCTCTCTCTCTCTCTGTTTCACTCTCTCTCTCTCTCTTTCTCTCTCTCTGTCTCTCTCTCTGTTGCTTTCCTACTCCCTCTATCTTTATATGTATAAGCTATATAGTATCATTCACTCGTATACGTATATAATCTGTCTGTCCGTCTGTCCGTCTGTCCGTCTGTCCCACTGTCTGCCGATCTGTCGTGTGCCGAGTGACGTCTCCAGCGCTGGCTGCCCTGCTGATTGTGGCCGAGTCCCGCTGGAGCAACAGAGACTGCATTTCCTGCCACTTCCGGGTTTGGGAATCACAAATAATTCCACTGCAGCTGGCGCAAAGAGACGAACGGCTTGTTAAAGAGCGCTGGCTGTGTGGGCTGCTTGGGGGCGTGGCTGGCATGGCGTGGAGGGCGGGGGGATAAATGATGTGCAAAATATACAATTTGAAATGGAATATGCGTGCTTTGCTGCTGCTTCTGCTTTGACTTGTTCCTTATCTTCTTCCCCTTCTACTTCCCCTTCTTCTTCATCTGCTTCTGGTTTATTTCCAGCTATCAGAGCATCTGCTTTGTGCTTGGTTCAAGGACACAAGGCACAAGGAGCAGGCACTGGCTGTTTGTCATTTTCTTTATTGTTGTTGTTGTTGCTGCTGTTATTTCTATTTTCTTTTGTCTGTTCTATTTTCTGCTTTCTGTTTTTGTTTTCCTTGCTGTTTTTCGCTTCGCTATGTTTTCGCATAAAGAGATTAGCACTCAATTTTAAATTGAAGCTTATTAGGCGGCACGCCCACTGCCTCTGATAGTCGCTTCCTCCCCCAACCCCTCCCCCGCCCCCCACCCACCGTTTGTTGATTGAATTGCGCACTTGGCCCAAATTCAACGTTTCTAAGGATTTAATCTGGCTTTTATTGTGCCTTTGGCTGCCCTTTCTGCCTGCCACGCCCACATTGCTTAAGCTACTAGCTTCCGCGACCTCTCACCCTTTCTCCCCCACCCCCTGGCTCCAGCGGAGCAACAGTTAGCTGCTATTTCACATCCAAATTCATGTCTATTCCAGGCAAATTGCACGCGAAGCTTTCCCGCGGGGTTTGTTGCGTGTAGCGAGCAAAGAGTAACAAGTGTTTGCTACCCCTCTCCCTCCCTCTCCCTCTGTCTCTCTCTCTCTCTCCATTTATCTACATATTTTCTTACTCACACACACACAGCCATATTCGCGTGAAGTAATTCTCTTGCAAATGAAATGAAAATTACTTACACTTGCCAAGGGAATTTCATGGGAGCGAGCATAAGAAGGGTAGGGGATAGAGGGAGGCAGCGAGAGAGCGTGGAATATGACAATGATATGCACATAAACAAGAAAACAGCAATTATCATTGGTATGTGGAACAGAAAATACTCTAGTAGACATGAGAGATGGGCATAGGCAAGTCTTATATTTATTAAAATATGCTATTCTTATATTTTATAAATATTTTTATATTTTTATTTTTTTAGTTTATATTTAAATTCCACTTTTAATTTATTAATTTTTTTTTTTTATTTGTACATTATTATTTTCCTTGCAGTTGCTGCCGATGCCTAAGCAAATCACAACGAACATGTTGCAACTACTACAACTGTATAGTCTTCTACAACGCACGCATGCCTTGTATAACAGTTTTGCTATGCACACAAAAAACATCGAATTATTATAAGTTCACATTCAACAGCATCATATACGTATAAGACGACTGATATTAGCAGATGTTCGAAGCTGGCTGTGCCTGTACAGTGTACACACAACAGACTCATACGAGTATAGTAACTACTTAGGCAAGCGCAAACCCAAACCACCTCAACTGCATATACTTATAAACGTAACTTATATTTGTTATGCATCCAACAGCAGTCTCATAATCTGTATAAGCAGCCGGCTTACTTTATCGTATACTCCAACCACCACTTATATTGTATGCGCTCGGGTACAGAGCAAAGGCAAAGCAAGAGTGGTGTATACGAGTTACAGCATACGCAGAGAGACACAGTCCGTATAAGGCAAGACAGCATACGTACATAGGCACACTCAATATAAGCTAAGCATCACTGTATAAGACTGCCAGCATACCCATACGAGCCACGTATAATTCGACACATTTCGAAGCTCGAATGTCTGACACTCCTCTGGCTCGCGTTCGTATAAGAACAGAGACTAAAGTGTATAAGCATAGACCAATAAGAGAGAGAGCGAGCGTAAACCGGCTGCAAGCAAACAAACAACAAGCCAGTCACCTGCAATGCCAGAGCGTGGAACCAAACAACACACAATGAGACCAATTGTTTTTGTTATCACATGAGCGCTCTCCTGCTTTCACGCTCTCTCTCCCTCTCTCGGGTTGTACAAGTGAACGAAGACGAAGGCGTCGTCGCTCGTGTGCGTTTGCCTTCGTCGGCTGCAGCTTTGCCTGATGATGGCGATGGCGGCTGCTGCTGCTGCTGCTTCTGGTGTTTCTGCTGGTGCTGGTGCTGCTGGCTTCGTCAGTTAGAAGTTTTAGTTCGGTTTTAGCTCTCATTCTGTGTGGACGCCTCGAATACAGTAAACGCGGCCCGTCGTCATCAAGTGCGTCGCACGCACACACACATACTCTGACGCAGTCGGGTACTGGCAACTCACACACACACACTCAATCGCTCGCTCGCCCAAAACATACGCACACACACACATGTACACATGGTGGTCCATTCGGCAGCAGCAGCCGCCGCGGTAACAGCGCCAAAATTATCGAGTCTGCGCCAAAAGTGAATTCAATTGTTAATCTTAAAGCTGAAGCTGGGATATATTAAGCGAATGTATCAGCGAATGTACCCAAACACCAAGTGCAAGAAGTGACCAAAAAATTTGTAGGGCACACGTTTCTGCTCCTCCTTAGCGCCGCGGCGCCTCCTCTCGGCTTGATTCGTTTGTCCTCGTCAACAATTTCGCTGTTGTGTTTTGTCGCGCGGCTTTCGTTAGTTGCGTGTCGCGTGTATTGCCGTCTCTCTCCTCGCACTCCGCACTCCTCGGTATCTAGTACCCAGCATCTCTCTGCTCTCTCCTCGCTCCGCGCCTTTCTTTCGCCCTCTGTCACCGTCACGTAACGGTAGGTCCCGTTGCCCGCAAACATGGCCGCACTCGATCGCGGCTTAGCCTAAGCTGTTGTTGTTGCCCAGCAATAAATTGTATAGGGTATTTCATTGATCGAATTGCCATTATAACAATAACAATAACAACAACATCTGTAGCTGGAGCAACTAACAACAAATGCGGCGCTGCAGCAGCAGCGACAACTGCAACTGCTGCTTGTTATAGCATTCAGCTTCTGTAGCGTTACGAATAGAGCGAGCAGCAATTTCCCCAACAGCAGCAGCAACAACAACTACAGCATTAGCAGCAACAACAACTGTAATAACTACAGCTAAGATCGAGAGGAAGCAGCAAAATGGCATTGAGCGCACATGAAAAAGAAGCAGCAGCAGTAGCAAAAGCAACTCAAATGCAACAACAGCAACAACAGACAAGAAAACGCAGACGAAGCAAATGCAGCAGCAGCAGCAACAAGAGCAGCAACAATTGCTGTTGCCGACAACAACGGAAGCAGCATAAACAACAACAACAACAACATAATTCACATTGGATTAAACAACTTCAACTGCTTTGCATTGGTAAGTCTCTTAGTTTGACATATCACAGAGTAGGTAGAGTAGGCGTGGCAGCCCCTTCAGCAGCTGTTGCAGCTGCTGTCCCTGCTCTTTCTACTGCACTATTTAATGCTCTACCCAAAACCCAATACCCTGACCCTAAGCCCAGCTCATTAGGCCAAAGCACAAGGCATTTCATTTGACTTTTGCGGCTGCCAAACGAATTGCAGCAGGAGATCTCAGTGAGATGCACTTGCAGAAATTTATGGCCGAGTTTTCAATGGGAATCGAAATTTTCGTTAATTTCTAAATATTCAAATATATATAGGTTAAAATGGGAGGCATTGTGAAAAGACATTTAAGACCCTATATGAAATAGCTTTGGCAAATAAATATGGATATTCCCAAAATAAGTGCATATGATAATAAATAATTGATAAATTATAGATAAATATGGAAATAATTCTATTCAGATAATAAATAAACGTATATTTATGAATAAATATTAATTA